CAACGGCCACCGATCCGCGGCACCGCTAATTAGTCTCAATGATTCGCTATGCGGCGAGCTCTTGCGTCTCTTTTCATCGATGCCGAAAGTCGTCGACGAAGCACGCGCGATCGACAATTTGAAAAACTTCTGGCATTCGTTTCGTAGGCGAGGCGCGCGACTCGACGCGACGCGACTCGACTCTCGTTCAAGACAAGGCGCGTCGTCGCTAACGCGCGCACTGTTTTTAAACTCTAATAATCTCGAACGATCGAAATTGTGAGATTCGGCGAAATCACAATCGAGGAAGGCACTCGCGGACGGCGACACGACTCGCGCAGCGATCGACGGGGATCGTTTTACAAGCGACGAGAGCCGAGCCGGTTTACCGCGATTAAAGGATCGAATTCGCGGTAAATTCTGTTCGAGTGGAAGACGTCTGGGGAAAGGCACTATATCATCGCTGGTACGATCGTTAGCCGCGACAACGCAATATATTATTATTTCTATCGGTGTAAACGTAATCGTTAGCGCTATTATTGCTACAATTTATTACGCTCGCTATTGGTCCCGGGCACTGCGGGAGTTCGCCGCAGATTCAATGGAATGCGCGTGGAATGTCACAATTGGAAAGAATTCGGGATCGCGATCGTTGAAACGGTTCGTTGCCGTGTACCGACGGCCAATTTATGTACAACGATTCTCGAATTATACGTATATAAGAAGGCGCTCTCGACGGAAGACGCGTGTCTCTCGGTGGCTTCGTGTTTCGCTCGATGGACAAAAATCGCTGATTTCGAAGGCCGACGAATTTTAAAGCGCTCCTGTCATTGGCGTAAAGCGTTTAATAAATCTCGCGATCTCGTCGTTGTTCGGTCGATCGACGATAACAAACCCTAACAGATTAACCAGTTAGCTGTGTTCGACGAGTATACTCGTCACGGAGAAGCGTCAGTATTTTGTGTCACGAGGATACACGTCGCGCGTAAAAAGTAGCGACCATTGGCTATTTAAATTGTAATTTTAGCGAAAAGAAGAACATATTCTCGAATTTTAAGACGTTTAGAATATCCAATTCTACGCGCCAATCCTACGCGAAGGTGTTTACATTGTTGTAAAAATAAGATTAGAGAAAGAATCACGATGTCGGTGATCGACGTGCGAAGTGCCATTACAGTAATGTCTTCCTTACTGACGCTCAGATTGCGCAGAAAAATGGACAATTTGGGAAGAGGAGATACGATTATTCGAGCCTTGCGGCTCGTTTTTATAGTTCTTGACAATTCGTAACTATGAAAACGAACCGAGAGGCTCGATTAATCGTATCTTCTCTTCCCGAATTATCCATTTTCGTGGACAATCTGAGCGTAAATTAGAGAGACATTACTGTAATATTTCCTAAAAGAGGTCAATCTTGATGTCATATTAGGAACGCATTCCTCGAATCTGTGAATTTGCATACTTTTACTTTCTCCTTTGTTACGAAGGTGCGGAATTTTCTTCTTCCGTGTTTTCCAGTGGATTGTGAAGGAATACATATTTTAGTTTTTAAACTTGTGTTCACTTTTAATAAAAGTGTATCTATAGACCGCTGTTTGCTCCATGAGCACAGTAAATTCTCCCTAATTGACGCTCAACTAGGAGACAACAATGGACAATTTTGGAAGAGGAGATACGATTAATCCAGGCTCGCGGCTCGTTTCTATAGTTGTTGGCAATCGGTAACTATAAAAGCGAGCTGCAAAGCTCAAATAATATCTCCTGTTCTCAAATTGTCCATTTTTGTGTACAAGCTGAGCGTCAATTAGGGAGAATTCACTGTATCTGTAAAAGTTTTCTATCGTGCTGTTTTCTATTATGCGATACTCATTACCGTGGTAATACCACGCATAATCCATCTGCGAGCGCCGATAGAAACAGCATGTCTCGCGAGAACTCGCGAAATGAAGCTTCCAACGCCACTTCACCTTCCACCGTGATAAAAGCACACCCTTTTTGGAAAGTACAAATGCTCGATCACTGTTACTCTGTTCAATATTTAAGCAAGATCTTCGACGATTGTTCGAGCCTTGTGGCTCGTTTTTTATGCTTATCAATTGTCAACAATTATAAAAACGAGCCGCAAGGCTCCAATAATCGTATCTCCTCTTCCCAAATTGGCCATTTTTCTGCACAATTTCGCCGTCAATTAGGGAGACATTACTGCTTTGCCAAATACAGTAAAGTCTCCTCCCTAATTGAGACTCAGATTGTCCACAAAAATGGACAATTTGGGAAGAGGAGATACGATTATTCGATCCTTGCTGTTCATTTTGATCGTTACGAATTTTCAAGAACTATAAAACTGAGCTGCAAGGCTCGAATAATCGTATCTCCTCTTCTCAAATTGTCAATTTTTGTGGACAATCTGAGCGCGAATTAGAGAAACATTACTATATTCTTTTTATAGTTAGCGATCGGTTTATAGTTAGCATTACTTAGCTGTTGAGCTATAAAAATGAGACGCAAGTGTCGAATAATCGTATCTCCCTTTCTAAATTGTCAACTTTTGTGGACAATCTGAGCGTCAGTAAGGGAGACATTACTGTACCACTCTACAGCAGCAATTTGAATTTTTAACTGTTACAAGTATTCGATCTTTCCTCCGTTTTCCGTTTATTAAGTTTGCGCTATATGTTAACGGTAAATGAACAAGTAAATATCGGTAAGAAAATGGTTAATTTTATCAAATAAAACCGTCTTTTTCATTCAATATTTTAACAGCGACATTTACTCTGTGTTCGACGAGTATACTCGTAATCGCTCGATCCTCGCGACATGTACAAAGTGCGTGTTCTTAAAATGCGACGTCACAGCTAACTGGTTCAAACGGACATTCAGGCCCGACCTGGGCCCGGTCCGACGAATAAATACAAATTTGGTGGACGAGCGCGCGCGCGATTCGCGATCATAAGAGGAACAACAACAGCAACAAGTGAGAAGAAGACTTTTGTCGCATGCGGAACGAAACACGAGCGTGAAACGAGGAAAGTTCGCGCGCGGATCATTGGTCGTTCTCGTTCTCGTCGTTGAAGTAAAGGGAGACTATCGAGTGTTTTTTACAGAACGCCCACCACCAGCGGAACCCCGAGAGACCGTTGAACACGAACCCGGGCTCGCGCTTCCGTCGCAGCTTCTCGACGAAGTTTAGGATCGCGTTCAGGGACTTTTTGGTGCGGCGATTGTACGGGCTGACGCTGATGTCGCAGCAGAACTCGAGCACGGCGGTCTCCTCGCTCGAGTTCAGGCCCGCCTCCTCGAGGACCATCATTCGCTTCGTCTTCCCGAGGATGTTGTCGTACAGGGTGCCTTTCGGTATCCCGTATTTGGACGACGCCTGGGTGAATCGCATCTTCTGAGTGACCACGGCCTCGATCGCTTCCTGGAGATCGTGCCGCGTCCACGTGGGCGCCTTCAGCTTCAGCAGGGTCGTATAGTCAGCTAGAAAACAGTGTCACGGATTTCGACTTTTTGTTTAGGCGATGTTTCAGGCGGTACGGCCATCTGTAACGGCCTCTGGCCTCTCTTCACGCAACTCGGATCCGACGATCTCGAGACCGGGATGGATCGGCCTACATCCTACGGACATATTTATCCCCTTCGTTTATCTCTGATCACTTTACATCTCTTATATATCTCATAGCTTTTCCCGGCAACCACCCCGCAACCCGCCACCACCGTCTCTCGTTTCCTACGCGCACCACCAGAGATCTCTGGATCCCCGTTTGTTTACTTCGGTTTCCGCATTCTTTTCGCCGATCTCGTCGACCTTTTCCTTCCTCGCTCGTACACCTTCACGCCTACGATCCCGTCCGTCTACTCCAAGGAAATCTGCGTGGACAAACGGGCGGAAAGGGAGGGGGGCCGCGGTACACCGGTGAGACGACCAGGCGAACCAATTCTTTCTAATCGTCCTTGGATCTCGTTCGTTCCCCCGATCCGTTTAACCTGCGATTCCGTTGCGGAGGAACCGTACGTCTGCCCCGGAAAGTATGCGCAGTTCGAATCGAAGACCGTCGAGAATGTTCGAAAGAAGAAGAAGAAGAAGAAAAAGAAGAAGAAGAAGAAGAAGAAGAAGAAGAAGAGGAATCGCGAGGTTGCATCCCCGCCGGGCGGCGCACACCTTGTTAGAAGCATCGATCGTTAGGTGGAAATTAGGATCGCGTTTCGGTGTCCCTGGGTGTTGAGAAGAACGCGCGAGAGGCCTCGATTCGTCGAGGCAGCCAGGTCGGAACAACCCTGAGTAAAGGAATCGTTACGCGGAATATGCTGTGGGAGTCGAGGCGCGTGGGAGTCTGCAGAGACGAGTCGGCTCCTTGGGCGGCTGGAATCACGAGCACGTTATCGGCGGCGCCATTAACGGCCGACCTCGCTCGGTTGTCTATCTAAATTGCTTTCTATATTAAAGCAACGCGCGTTCTTCGGCTTCGTTATTGCCGGGATAACGGCAAATGCGTGTTCCACGGCTCGCATCGCTCAACACCTTTTTCCGCTCGGTCTTCCCGCGTTCTCCTTCCGCGGCTGTCTCTCTCTCTCTCTCTCTCTTACTCTCTCCCTCACTCTCTCTCTCTCTCTCACTCTCTCTCTCTCCTCTTGCTCTTCTTCGGCCAGGGTACGATACGCTGTTCCCCGTCGGGCTCGGTTCAGCCGTGTCGTCTCACCGTTTACTCGCCACCTTTAGTCGTCGCTTTCCTCCCGTTTCTTCTGTCCCTCGGACCGCCGATCGCTTAATCGTCCGTTGGCTAACCCGGGAAGAAGGGGGGAATCGGTCGACGTTCGTGGTGAACGGGAAACGATCGCGACCCGCGGCGATGTCGCGGCGACACTTCGAAAGCCGCGCGGAACCGCCTCGACGGGACCCCCGGGGACCGAGGGTCCCGAGGAGACGGCCCGGGCTCGAACGCGTTGTATATCTGAAATGCGCTGTCGCGACAGCTGCTGGTAGACAATTAGGTAAACGCGGGGAGCTTCGAACAACTTACCTGCTATACTCGACGTGGAGGCTCCGAGCCAAGCGTGGGATGACTCCAACAACTTGGCCTGCAACAGAGAAAAGAGAAAAGAACGGTTAGAGACTCTGCGGCGCTCGAGGGTGTCGACGGGGCCGAAAGTCTAGCTTCCGCCTCGAGGGGATCGGTCGTAAACGCGAACGTTCCGCCGCGGGTTCGGGCGGACGCGGGACCCGGGTCGCGGGGTGGGCCCCCTTTCGGCGCTTGAAAGGGTTAAATTGGAGACGGAGGGGAGGAAGACAGCTCGGCCGGAAGAAGATGCTCGACCGGCTCGGCGGTAGGGAACGCGCGGTTTCCGGAGAACGGAGGCTCGTGTCTCTGTCGACAACTTTACTAATATGCGAGGTTTTCCGCGTCTCTAGAAAGGGGTTGCGAGACGCGCCGAAAGCGCAAGACACACGCAAAGTTGGCTCATTTGAAAAGTTTTCGTCCGCGTTCTGACGCGGCTCGCTCGCGATTTCCGCAATACGGAAGGTCCCAGCCTATCCCGAGACTTCTCATATAGAGCGGATCGTTTTCAGGAGCCGGCCACTCGGCTGACTTTTCAAATTAATTTTTAAGGGCCGAACGTAACCCCCGCCCCGGCTCGTTTGATCCACGCACCTCGATCCTCTCTATCCTCTCTATCAGACACGGAAACCCCTTCCCATTTTTTGTTCCCGACGGAATTTCGACCGCCTCGCCCGTATGCGCCGCGCCGCGCCGCTTCGAGCAAAGTTTCGAGCCGAGCGCGCCGCCTCTCCTTTGATTTTTTTCTCCCCACCACCCTCGGGTCCCAGGTCGGGCCTTATACGTTTACGAGCGCGCGTAGATTTCGCGCGACAATAGAAACATGGCGGCGGCGTAAGTGGCAATAATACCGGGCGAGAGATCTGTAATCGGCGAGAGAATAGGCATAACGTATAGACAAGGGGGCCCACGAACGTCTTACGCGGCGCGGAGAGCTGTTGCGGTCGCGATGAATAGGCCGCGAGAAAAAAAAATGAATTGCGGAACAAAGGCCGCTCCGCGAACAGAATAGACTCTTATTCTACGAAGAGTTCGAATTCGTCGCCCGACGCCTGGAGTGCCCGTTGCGAAAGAATGCGTCCAGATGGAGCCGTTCCAGTCAATAATACTTATAATAGTAATTGAAGGTGCGGCCGCCGCGCCACGCGATCCACGATGCTCCGCGGAACCTTGAATAAAGAAGATAAGGTCCGCGATTGTGTCCTACGTTCCATCGAGATGACGACGCCTCGCGTATTCGCATGGCGGTCACGCGCCTATGGCGAACGACGAGGCGGGACGAAGCCGGATGTACGGATCCCCCCGTCGCGAATCATGGGACACCTTGCCGTGCTAACTGAAATCTGGACCATCTTTTGCAGATCGTGCCGATGTCAGGAGTCAAATTTTCGGAAACGTATTTCGGACGAATTCTTTCGACAATCGCTCGGTCGACGACGCTAATCGTCGGAGACTAGTTTCGTTGAATGTACAGTAATGTCTCTCTAATTGACGCCGAAATTGTGTAGAAAAGTGGGCAATTTGGGGAGAGGAGATACGATTATTGGAGCCTTGCGGCTCGTTTTTATAATTTTTGACAATCGATAAGCATAAAAAAACGAGCCACGAGGCTCGAACAATCGTATCTCCTCTTCCAAAATTGTCCATTTTTGTGCACAATCTGAGCGCCAGTTAGGGAGTTACTAACTGAAATCTGGACCATCTTGCAGATCGTGCTGATGTCACGAGTCAGAGTTTCGGAAACTTATTTCGGACGTATTCTTTTGACAATCGCTCGGTCGACGATGCTAATCGTTGGAGACTAGTTTCGTTGAATGTACAGTAATGTCTCCCTAATTGACGCCGAAATTGTGCAGAAAAGTGGGCAATTTGGGAAGAGGAGATATTATTATTGGAGCCTTGCGGCTCGTTTTTATAATTGTTGACAATCGATAAGCATAAAAAACGAGCCACAAGGCTCGAACAATCGTCGAAGATCTTGCTTAAATATTGAACAGAGTAATAGTGATCGAGCATTTGTACATTCCAAAAAGGGTGTGCATTTATCACGGTGAAAGGTGAAGTGACGTTGGAAGCTTCTTTTCGCGAGTTCTCGCGAGACATGCTGTTTCTATCGGCGCTCGCAGATGGATTATGCGTGGTATCACCGCGGTTATGAGTATCGCATAATAGAAAACAGCGCGATAGAAAACTCTTACAGATACAGTGAATTCTCCCTAATTGACGCTCAGCTTGTGCACAAAAATGGACAATCTGAGAACAGGAGATATTATTTGAGCCTTGCAGCTCGCTTTTATAGTTACCGATTGTCAACAACTATAGAAACGGGCCGCGAGCCTGGATTAATCGTATCTCCTCTTCCAAAATTGTTCATTGTTGTCTCCTAGTTGAGCGTCAATTAGGGAGAATTTACTGTGCTCATGGAGCAAACAGCGGTCTATAGATACACTTTTATTAAAAGTGAACACAAGTTTAAAAACTAAAATATGTATTCCTTCACAATCCACTGGAAAACACGGAAGAAGAAAATTCCGCACCTTCGTAACAAAGGAGAAAGTAAAAGTATGCAAATTCGCAGATTCGCGAGGAATGTGTTCCTAATGTGATATGCAGTTTGACCTCTTTTAGGAAATATTACAGTAATGTCTCTCTAATTGACGCTCAGATTGTCCATGAAAATGGACAATTCGGGAAGAAGAGATATGATTAATCGAGTCTTGCGGTTCGTTTGCATAGTTACGGATTGTCAACAACTATAAAAACGAGACGCGAATAATTGTATCTCGTCTTCCAAAATTGTCCATTTTTCTGCACAATCAGTTAGGGAGCGTCGGTTAGGTTTGCGCGACATTACGGAAGAAGAGAGGGATAATCGCGGTTCAGACGAATCTGGATCACATTTTGTATCGTGCCGATGACAATAGGCTTTCGGGAATGTATTTTTGGCGGAGCCTTTGTGACGATCGGTCGGTTAACGATGCCGATAATCGTCGAAGACAAGTCGTTCAAGATCGGTCGGATGCATTCGGTTTAGGCGACGTCGCGGTAGGGGAGGGGGAAAAGGTGCAGCGGAATAACTGCGGTTACCTTGAAAATCGACTAGACGGCGAGCGATCGGTTCCCGTGGCTGCATTATGGCGTTGTAAATTATTTAGACATCTTATCGGAGCGGTTCCGCGAGCAAGGAAAGCTGCACGCGCGGCTCGGGAAAACCGCAGGAGGAGCGACCGGTGTGCATCGGTGCACCGAGACGCACACGACAGGGAAATCGAGTTTGCCCGAGCGCGGGGACACGAGCTCGGGCCCCGAGTTCATCGTGCGCACACACGCCGCATCCTGTCATGCGTGCATTTTTCATTGTCTCGTGTCTCCGTCCCGCTGTCGGTCCGCCCGTTTGTCCGTCCGTTCGTCTGTCTGTCTGTCTGTCTGTCTGCCTGTGTCGCGAGCTGCGCCTCGAACCTCGAAGAATGCGCGTCCCCGGTGCACGCGACAAGGCTCTTTCGCGCCATTAACGAGGAAATTGCTGTTCGCATTCTTCCGATTTTTTTCTCTGTCTTCTGCCGCTCGGAAAGAAAGTTGTCGCGCCGATTCGGGCGAACGAAATACTCGGGGGAGGGCCTCGCGACGCCTGACCTGTCGCTACCGTGTCATCGTAAATTCACGAGCGCCGTCGTTATCGAGTGGCCTTACGTTCCCGTAACTTTGCATTTTCTATTGGCCCTGTTGCATCGATTCGAAGGTCCGGTTAACTACTCGAATTTGCCGCGGTTTATCCAGAGGTCCCGTAGCGTCAATTAGTTTAGTGGTAAAACGCTTAAACTGTTCGCAAAAATTACGTACGGTTATAATAATAATTAATAGAGAATACGTTTACATCAGAAATAAACAATTTATGACAATTGGAGATGTGAATTTCACTTCTTTACATTTCTAATATTTATAATTATTTTGTGAATTTAGGGTATTTGTGGCATCGTTACGAACAGTTTCAGACCAAGAACGTTAATTTTGATGTATTGGTTGAACTAAACTAATTGGTTCAACTGGCCGGAACTAAACTTCTTCTATGTGCAGGATATAGGATTGCCAAAAGACAATAATTATGCCAAATTTAGGGCATTAAAAAGTAAACCGAAGGTACAAAATTGTTCAGGAGAAGTTACTGCACTAACACAATGTGAAAAAAGAACGAATGACAACACCGCTGAGCATAATTAATTAATGTTAATAGTTAATCTTCAAGAAACAATTAATTATGTTTCGCAGTATTGTAATCTATATTTTAAATATGACGTCGACGCACTAGACTTTCCCGAGCAATTTCCGTTCCCTTAGTTTATTTTCTTATGTCCTAATTAATATTCTTCGGCAACCCTGATTAAAATATAATACAAAACAATAATATAATAAATAACCTATTTCGGCAAGCATATGCAAGAGATCTAGTTCAGTCGCTCATCGAGGTAGTAGCGCGCCACGATCCACGAAATGCTCATTTCTTAAAAATCCCTAAATAGACGTAACCATGGCAATTTATCGTATAAAATACGCGAGCAGCCGGGAATATTTTCGGCCGAAAAATCCCGCGTATTTTGGTCGAAAGCGACGAGAAAAGAAAATAGACGCTCGGTTTCCAGTATTGCGGATAATCGAGTACGCGGAATAATTGCGTTATACCTCCATTTTCTTCTTCATCATCGCTTCGACGAAAGTCGAAGGCTTCCTCTGATCATAGACCATGGTCCATCTCTCCTGCTTCGTCTTCAATCTCTCTCTCTCTCCTCTTTACTCTCGCTTCTCCATACTTCTCAGTCCATTTCCTAGTCTCTTCGCTTTCCCTACTCGGTTCCCCGGGCCTCGGATTAAATCGCGATTCGATTCGCGGCACAAAAATCTCGTAATCGCGCGAACGGAGCCCGGCTCGTCGTCTTGGCCCCGGCTCGTACCGTTGCATAACCGGCGGATAGGTTGCATCCTCCGCGAGCTGCAAGTTCACCGGCCCCGGTCCGATCTCCGTATCGG